TTATGCTGTGTGAGGTGTAGTTGAGGATGATTCTGGGTGTATTGTTTGTTCCCTAGTGCGAGGCGCTGTATAAGATGTGGTTGAGTATGTTTGAGAGTGTGTTCTGTGGTATATGCCTGTATGCGAGTCAATTATTTAACAGGCAGGTCCTATCAGACAAAGCGTAAATAGTCCCTCATTGTCCAGACTACACTTTTGTCTTCCACCACCCAGTTCACCCAGTTCATGCCCCCTGCTTCTGACCGTCCTCCAGTGAAACTGTTAGACCCTTAAAACCTGTTGGCCGTCCTTCCACCTATTCCCAGGTCTTTTAGCTCTTGAATCCTTAAACCCTAAAACCCTAATGGCAGCATTCAACACCATTTAAACGCCTTGCAATTTGAATTTTAATTCCTTTGTGCTTACGACATTGGCTTAGAAAAGATCCTTTAGAATCAATTGATTTTGGACTATTAGTTCGGGAAAAATTTAGTGAAGTGTTTGGGTATAACTCTCAATAAGGGCGATATTCATAAATAGAATAATCAATGATAGAGAATAGAATTTGTTTTGATTCAGTGACTTTTGAATTGCTTTCAAAAGTGACCGAATCAAACAAATTCTATTCTCTATTATTGATTATTCTATTCATTGAGTTTCTTTTTGAAGATTCTCGTTTAAAGGTTTCCTTTACGCGCTGCTAAAAGACCAATCACTAAAGGACCTAATACTATAATTAAAGCAAAAGTAGCAAGTTGTGCAATCACTTCTATGCTCATATATATTGACCTCTATGTATGAAATAAATATTGTCAAATAGCGAAACCAATAATGGTAATTCTCTCCCAAGAATGCATCTGTGCCCACCGTCCCAATCCCCCGGCAGTAGGGATCCGTCTATTGTCCACAATCCAATATACATTGCCAGGTCCATTATCAAGACTTGGGTGCTGATTGCATCTTCTGTCTCCGAGTAGTCACCTCTTCCGCTGCTCCTCTCCTGGGAGGTCCCTGGTTGGCCGGCCTTCTGCGAAAGTGCGGGCGGGAAGGGAGGGTAGGGGGACAGGGTTAAGGGGCGGGTTGGGGTGGGCCTTAGGGGGTTCAGGAGGAGGAGGAGCATGGGGTGGGGGGGCAGGAGCCGGGAGTGTGTTGTGCCTTGTCAACCTAGGATTAGGATGAAGTTGGTCGGTTGGAATGGGAACTGGAAGTGGCTTCTCGGTAGACGTTCCCATTGTGGTTCTGTCAACAACCACTGCTTCCATCGCAGTTGGTTGTGTTGATCCAATTTGCAGAGTCTCTGTGCAGTATCCACCGAGACAGACGAGAAATTATTGGAGAGTTCATTCCGTTTGATTGTATCTGATTCCTTTCGTAGCATATTCCTAAGCTCTTGCCATTGTCATTACCAAATGTGTGAGTCTTTTTGGCAGGGCTTGATTACATGAAGCCTGCATAGCATCTTGGCCCTTGAAAAGCGAGCACAAGATGCTACGAAGTACTTTGGTCCACCCTCCTAATCTCTCTCACTTTCCCTCCTACCTTCTCACTCCCATTTTCTTTCTCCCATAGATATTCGTATATAATGATAACCCTTAAACTTTCCAAACGTAGGAAGCCCCAAGGACACAGTCCTGGGCGTTCCACATTGGACATTTTCCTTGTGCCCACAGATTCAAGCCCCAATCGGTGCTTCCTCTTAGATTTAGAGATGGCGTGCCCTCAGACTTTTGGAGAATGGCGGTTTGAGACTTTTTTTTCTCTCAAACCCCAACCCAGTCCTAAACTATGTTGTACAGCGAACTTGGCTAAAAATATGGCCAATTTATCTTTCGCCGTTCCAATGGCAAACCCACAAGTGAGGATCTCCATCTGAGACAAATTTGACCTTGGTTTTGCCCAAGGCGTAATTATGGGCAGTCTGACGTCTACGTTCGTCCTAATTTCCGGTCTTTTGCCCACTTTCATCTTCTTCCTATACTTCGAATGCTATGCAAGAAAGGAGGGAGTGCTGGGACACTGTAGAACTGATCTTGACACATTCTTAAGGAGGTATGCAAGCTCAATAGCTCGGTTTTCCGTGACAGAGTCAATCTTGAGCTGGATCAAAATGAAGAAGCAAAACCTTGTTTCGGGTTTCAGTGAGATCCAAGCCCCATTTTCACTATCAAAGGTGGACCTTTCGACCTTTGTGAGGGCAGACTTGAACTTTGGTCTAAGGCTTGCTTTGTGAATTTAAAAATTGGTCTTCGTCCCAAACAAAGTTTCTTTATCGGAGAAAGAACCCAACCTTGACTGGTTTGGTTCGTCCAATGTGGCTGAGTTCCCCCAAGTTCCTTGTTTGTTTTTTGGGGGACGTGTTTGGAGGCGGGATTTGACTTTTCGGTGGTGCAATCCCATCTTTGGGACTTTGATTGTATCATGGCACAATCAATGTATTTGGCCTGGAGGGGTTTGTGCACTGTGACGACCACAGTGGCACCTTGGACCTCCCTACCTCCAAGGCCACACCTTTGGTCCGTTGGAGCTTGTGCAATCTGCTGAAGTGCATAAGGCCCCTCCTTTTCTCCTTCTGGTTTTCGGCACCTTGGTTCGGTAATGGAAGGTTCTGGTTACTGATGAAGGGAGGGATAGATTGAGGAGGGTGGGAGGGGGGAGGGACAGATTGAGGGAAGGCTGGACAGAGTAACGGACC